TTCTTATATTTCTTGAAATATACAAAATATTTTTTAGGCCCATTAATAATTGTGAAATTGTAATTAGAGCCATAATATTTTATTTAATAGTAAACTAATTAAATAATACTTCATTAAAATATTGACTGTAATTTTTTTAGTTCTTATAGGTGTTATGGTTTCAGATTCCTTCATAGTATCTAATAAGTACTAGTAGAGTTACCACCAACCACGGCATCGCCGCGGTATGCGGTATAAATTTTGTATATGTAGTTGTTTTTGTATTGCTATAATAGTACATACGGAAATTAGAATTTTAAGTTCAACAATAAATATTCTATGGTAATGTTGTAGTAGATGCAACCGCTGACAGACACGAATGGAATTCAATGTACAGACACACATATTTCTATAGTAGTGGCAGTTGTCGATTGCACCGAGCGAAATGAAAGTAACAATCGGTTTATGAAACGTCTCACTGGAAGGTAATCTAATCGGGCCGACCAGTATTACACAACAATAAGAGCCGACTTCGAAACTAAAACAAAACGAGTCCACTAATCACTTGTTCTAAAGGTATGTGGCCGTAAGAATCGTAACTAAATTTGAATATTAATATGTAAACAGACATGCTCAGAAATATAAAAAAACGGGACCTACCGATTCTAATATATATATTGAAACTAACTGACCCTGCAAACAGTATTTTACCAAATAAATTAAACTCGCTATTAAAAAATGGGGGTTGATGATAGAAGGGTGAAAATTTAGGGTTTGATGAGTTATGAGATTAAGAATTAATATGATTTATTATTTGCTTATAAACGAGTCTAAACTTTACAGGTATATATTCAAGTTGACACAAAGAATGTAATAATAAAATTGCTATTGCCTTGCTACCATCATGTGATTAGCCTATTTATGATGCTGTTTATACCTACTTTTATTCTGCTTGCTAATTAAACTGTTTATGGGTATTAATTTGTGCTACCTACTAAGGTTTTTGTACTGCTGTCACCATGTAGTGAATGTACCTAATAATACGCCTCGAGTGCAAACAATAACTAGTTTACCTATACCCGTAGTACGTACATATATATTTACTTTGTTAATATCCATCAATAGATTATAATGCACTTGAGTACTGTAAAGCGATCACAATTATAAGAGATGTAATCTAATAACTAGCAATGTAGTTAAATAAACTCAACATGACTTATTTATTGTTATATATTGCAATACTCAGTTAAATAATCCATCGAGAACATGTATTGTAACACATATTCTTTCACGTGTTCAGTATCCAATTAATTACTAAAGTTGTGGAATTAATCACACAATATAACGTGCATTGCGATAGCTATATAATTGTTAGTTTTTTTTAAGGAACCGATTTTAACCATAAATCATTTAGTGAAAACACAAATCACATAAAAATAAATATAAACTAACTATTTATAAAATACCGGCATACGTCATCTTTCCAGGAAAAGCAGCGCAACGTATGGATTCCAATTGTCAAATCATCTAAGAATCCATTGAAATATACATGCAAAATTTCATCCAAATCGGTCCTAATTTGGAGGAATTGTGACAAGTGTGATTATACAGAAGAATTATTTGTATTACGGATAATAAGGACTGATTATATTGACAAAATTAATTAATGACAATTAAGCAGTTATTAATGTAAACGTTATAGCTCTGAGAATAACTGAAGTAGGAAGCATCGTAGAATAAAACTGCAGTAGGTACTTTCTCTATTTGTTTTGCCCGCGATCGGCACTCCCCCACGTAACAATGAGCCAACGAGTCACAGAAATGTAAAATATTTAATCCAAAATGTATGGGTTACCGTTTATAGAACTCACTTTTTTATATGTAGTAGAGCTAGTAGTATGGTTACTTTGTATATAATTTTGCAATTCGAAATACCGATTAAGTCAATATTACCAATAAACTTTGGATGGTTTACATTGTTAGTAACACCTTCGCCTTCCATATCAGTCGCGGGTTTGTTTTTATCAACTTCAATGCAGGTGTATATTTCTTTTACTAGCCTAAACTTAACCTCGTAATGATTGATAACAGAAATAGTAAAATAGTCCTTAAAAACTTATATACAAAATATAGTCACAAAGTAAACTCTAATCATGAGATTAAATCCTTATTTCTAACCTTAAACATCATCCTTTAATTGGTTAAGTGCATTGACTGATAATTTTTCTAGATTGTAGTTCCTTAACATAACTGTGACAATTATAGCATGATTCTAGGAAGTCCTTAAAATTCAACATTTGTAGATTTACATAGCTATATGTGAATATACATACAAACTATTTAAGTTATATCATCGGTATTTTCTTTAACATAACTGAAACGGCAATATAGGTAACGGTCCACCTGCTGCCAAACGATAACCGTCACCTATTTAAATACATGTACAGCACTACTCACGCGTTGTAATTCCAGAGAAGTAAAATGTTATGCTTTTTATCTGAATTTCATTGTCGAATAGCACCCTAAAACAGAAACACCATAGCAAGCTGCTTGGTAGCTAATATAGGTGAGATAGAGACACACGCAAACACCTTTTGACAGTCTAGCTCTGGTGGATAAAGTAAAGACATAAACTAATTTTGATCATTGCCCCAATTAATTAAGTTAATTATTTTCTATATTTATAATTCTACTAACAGTAGATATACAGTTGAACCTATGTCGTCCTAAATCAATATATCCGGCCTTCACTATGACATTCACCACTATTGATGTTCTTCATTTTAACCGTGTTGGAATTAAGTGTACAAGACCACCTAGTACATTATAAGTATTCTACAAGAACGGTGCGCGGCCTCGCAGCAAAATGTCATGCTTACCTACATGTTTGAGCAATTTGACCGGTTGGTACTGAGTATATTCATAACACACCTACAAATAATAAATTTGTTACATTCTTTTGATTTGAGGCGCAAGTTTTGTATCAATAATATTTTTTACAAAACAGATGCAAAAACAATTATTATTATTATATAAATGGACTATGAAGATATATAATAGTACTCATGCCTTAAACTTAAAAAATAAATGTAAGAATGGTACGTAAGAATGAAATAGATTTCATTAATGAAGTTACTAATGACTGAAGCAGGTAATTGCTGGACCTTTAGAACAGACGAGAGAACAAGTTTAGCATCACTTTCGGATTTCCTATCACAAAATAGTACATCGATGCTCCAAAATCGTAGTCACAAATTGAACAATGAGCGGCGGCGACGCGGGACCAAAAAGAAAATTAATTTAGGTATTGGTGTCGGTCGGTGAACCCACGATTGTGAAACGTGAGCGATTGCGCTCGGTACTGTTTGTGTAACACACCGGCACAATACCGCCACATCAACTGGCCCTCAAAAATGCTCACCTATTACGAAATGCGCGCAAATTACTATAGCTGATCAATATAAGCAGCATTCCGTACTGTTTGTGATGTCTTGTAATCTAGAAAATTCAAAATATCAAAAATAGTCAGGCACCTTTTATTAATAGCAAATTAAACACTATATACAGAATAGAGATGACTTCCGTTATCCTAAAGTACATTATACATTCCAATCAATACTTTTGCAAATTAACATTAACTAATATCAGAACCGATATCAATAACAATAAATACCTAAATTTAGTAATGTGATACGACTTATCCACTAAAAGGTATGAGGATTTTCATATTAACACAAATAAATACTATTACGAATTTAAAGATCTAGAAAAAAAACAGAGTTTAGAACGTTTTTTAACAGAGTAACAATGACAAAAATCGCAAAGCAGAGCATACAGATGCAATTGGTAATTGGAAGATGCGATCTCGTGTGGAACGTGGCCCGAGGCGGCATGAATGAAAGCCGCTCACTGGCATCACACTACACTCGCATTGGAGTATCCCGAGGCCAAATGAAATATGAATCTGTCATTTGTTCACTTATACAATGCTTACTCAGCTTAACCACATATATTATCAATACGGGATTATAAAGCAATGGATATGGAACTATTGAGAGGATCGTTTGCGGGGAGTGGTCGACTCATGAACCTTTAAGGATATCGACATCCGCCGAACGAGTTTTTCCAGTCGGTATCATCGCAATATCACGGTTATTATTGAAACGCGCGCCGCGGTCGCGACAGGTAAGTAAAGCATTTATCACAAGAAATATTTACCCAGTGTAGTGTTATCTCGTACAGTTTTTGTAAAGGGGAGATTGGCTTGCGACGATGTTTTATCATTATCTAGTTACATATAGATTAACGCACGCTTTTGAGAGCGTAAATTAATAGTTTTATCTCGACGTTGCGATACAACAGGTATTGGTTTTAATAGATCATCTTACGTTGTTTAAAATTCAGTAATGTGAATATGCGTCATTCTACAATATAATAGGCAGCTAATCATACTTACTCATCGTGAAACATAAAATACGTTAATAATATAGTACAATACCACTTGGATCAGTGTTTACAATGCAGATATTATGGTTTAGAAAGTTCATACTAGTAGGAGTCCATTTTGATTGTATCTCGGTGAACCATTCCACTTACGGTACATATGTACCTACAGAGTTCGGTCGTGGGCAGAGAAATTTAGTAACACAAATATTAAGTCGTAACCAGTTCACAACAATTGAAACGATTCGAAAGACACAGTGACCAATCCGTCACGGACGCCGTTGTAAACACCGCGCTCACTTTGCGCCTCTTCCTAACTAAACAATACATAATCTCATTTAGAATTATATACATATAATCTTTTTAATCATATGGAAATTTATCTATAATGATCGATTGCCAATAATTATTATTATTTCTTTCTTAAAGAAATCACGTAGGTACAGAGTTAAAAACAATATAGGATTTAAAACTGTATTTCAATAACAACATACATAATACATAATACATAATACATATTTATAACAATATACATGCACTTACCTGATATTTGTCACGAAAGGGAGTAGATAGAGTAGATGTAGAAAAAATCTCATCTTAATACTAAAATAAGCAGAAAATAACATTACATCAATTATAAGCTCACTAATAAGTAACTGTGACTATAATAAATCTATAAATTCAACTCTGCAGATACCAAGGAACAAATTTTCAAACGTAATTCCATTTGTTTCTTCTCAGAAATATTCCTATAAACGTAGTCCCCCAATTCTTTAAAAAAATCTTTAGTATTTCTATTATTGCAATTATGAACTAGTAGTCGTGAGTCTTGACTTCCTTCTTTTTTATCAACTTTATAGGTCGGTATGGATCTCATATTGTTTGCTGACATTGTGCTTTTAACGCATACTGCATGCGACGCTTCAATTTTGGAACAGCTCAATAATTCACGTGTGTCTGTTTGATCTGTAGAGTTCATAAATATTGTCCAATTATTGGTGTCATTATTCAACAACGCGCTGCTATCATTATCAGTATTAGTCAGTTCTGTGCACATTACTAGGTCATCATTTTTTAACATTGTACTCGGTTGTATTTGTTTTACGTTTTCTGTCATGGCTTTCGTAGTTGTTGAATGTTCAGAAAAATACAACACTTCCCTCAATCTATTGTTTACCATATGTAACATTTTGTTTACTTCGACGTCGTCTGGGTCTATATAAGAATTACAATCATTTCTATCTTTCAATATATCCTCAATCATTTCCAATGTTACCGTATAATTAGTTACCTGTTGTTGGTTTTTAAACATGGTAGCAAGATCAATTTGATAATCTTTATAACTATATAATTTTGATTCATCCAAAAAATCTAGAAGTCCATTTAAAAGAGGTGAGTTGATCTTCGCTCCTTGAGAAATAGCCTCTTTTAAATTTAAATAAGACATTAATATTGAATTCCAACGCCTTCTGCACTCACCAGCTGAAACCGAAAAGGAGTTGTAGAGATTATCGCAGTAAGAGTGAGAGTGAGTGGTGTTTTATATAAGAACACTTGATAAAAGTATATTTTATACATTATAGAAATATTATATTACGTGCTTAATTTAAAAATTTTGATTAGAATTTCCGAAAATATACAGTTATTTTTAAATAAGTTATAACCGTATCTAAAATTAGTTTAATTTATTTATTAGTCATTGGGAACTTCATTTTCTTTTAAAACATTAATAATAAATAAATAAATAATAATAGAGCAATGATTTTAAATTTCTTTTTTAATTATGTGTCGAACGAAAACATATGAAAATGTTGAAAATTTCTATCGTTGTATCTTTTCAACTCAATTTAAAAAGTAAGATGTTCGACGTCAGTATTTATATCTAAGTATTTGAGGTCTCTACCCAGGAATGAATCAAAATTGACGGACAATGAGTTGAGCATCGATTATTAAAGTAGTACCAAATTTAACTTATTATTATATAATAGAAATATACAATACAATAAATAAATAAAATATACAAATTTATCTTATAGCGTTTGATTAACTACGACTATGAAATCTTTAAATAATATATTGATTTAAATGGGTCAATACATGGGGTAAAGAAAGCAATAATTAAATTTATACTTTTTTTTCTATCTTTTGTACAAGAAACTATGACAATCATTAAAAAGATGATAGTGAAAGAATAAAAATTATCGTAAGGAATTCAGCGGGTTAGTACAACATTCTTAAAAGTAATACTTACGACTTAATCTCAGTAAATTTCCAAAACAATTCCAGTACTTTACTTTGGGTGTGTCTATATCCTTGTTTAGCATTTTTGATTCTCGTATTAGGTGAACTAATCTCAAGTCCTTCTCATCCAATGTCTTGTACGATATAGCTGGTATATTGTCGGCCATCTTGTTGACGGGTAACTGCGAATAAGGGCGGTAAATTTAAATCACTATCTGTGAATGCCTGCCGAGCGACTAGCAACTGTGACACTGTATGATTAAATGAACGGTAGAAGTAGGAGGGAGGCGGGTGAGATGGATGGTAGGTATTTATGAATCTCTCCACCATCTTACTGCACCAGAGTTTTAAACAAAATCAATCCCAAGTGTAAGTTTGGTATTAAAAAAACTTGTGAACAACCCAAGTTCACATTTCTTAGTCGTTGCAGGCACTAATTTTATGTTTTTATTACTTTTTAGTCCTACATGGCCTACCCATAACCCTCAATGTAAATTTTTCACCCCAAAAATTTTTGTGAACAAATTATATACCCTAAATTTTGCCGCCATCATAAAAAGACGATAAGACAAGTTTTAAAGTTTGCTAAAAATTTGATTTTAACTTAGTCTAGTCTCCTTTTTTATTAAAGTGACATTTCGATTTATTGTAATAATATAGAAGTCAGAGGGCGGAACGCGTGGGCTCGTAGTAGCAACGTAGCGTCGTAGGGCCGACTGAGTGACGTCGACTCGCGCCTACGATCTCGACCGCTACGAACGTAGGCGAATCCATTATAACTATCTATACAGTTTTACTCTTATGTGTAGTTTTCATATATAATTTTTGCTACAATTCTAGGCAACCTAAAAGGTTTAGTACGAAGAAATAAAAAGTCTGTATTCATTTCGTATATTGGCTCGATGGCTTATACGATTAATAACCCCTCTATTTAACGACGATGTTTTCTTCGGTGTTTAAGTGCGCCAATTCTAATATTATATTAATACCATCATCATACCATCACCGAACATTTGGGAGGTTACATTGATGTTTTACTCTTTCACGGAAACATTACTCAACAGATGCTAATACACTTTTGTATACAGAATTCACGAGGGCAGCACCGCGGAAAACAGGTAGCATACATACATGACGATGTCGATCGTCATTGTACTGGTACAATCTCTTGATAATTCTCAATATTACAATAACCATAAAAATTATAATTAAATATATACTTGTGAACAAAAAATACAGTGTAATAGGGTATCAGAACATTCTAGGTTTTAAATATAAATAAAAAAGGAATATACAATTAGTGGATCAATTAATATACCAAAAAGACTTATTTTTTAATGCAATAGATAATAATACAGCATCTGATAATATGTTATATTATATCATATGCATTATGTCTGTAATTATACGATATCATTTTATTTATCTAGAAATTCTTTATCTCTCTGCTTCAGATAAATATTTTCCCCAAAATTGTGTTATATTTTAAAGCCAAATAAAAAATTAATACGACTAAAATAGCTTTTTTATAAAGTCTATTTATTTACCAGTCATATTTCAGAACGGAATAATATTTATCGCTATTATAACACAAAAGTTAAAATTTTATAAAAAAGTCAATCTTATATAAATAAAATTGCGCGTAGCTAATAATTAGCTTCATATAGAGAACTGATGTGATATGACATGGCAGAAATTAAAAATATACAAGATTTATTGACACATTAACACCTTTCATGTTATAAACATAAAACTGAAAACTGATTGTTCCCATTAATAAAGTAAGTGTAACCGTGTACCGTAAAACAAAATACAATATAAAAAAATATATTGAAAAAATATCCTGAGGGGATATTATTTAACTCGTTTTTTATACACTCATACATCATACCGATATTATACTGATCATCGTTACTATATTATTATTAATAGATGACATAAAGAATATAAGTATATACTATATTTTTTACAAGACTTTACAAAATTTATTACGACAAAAAGAAGTAGCAAACGGAGCAAGTGCGCGCTTTATTAGCGCTTGCCGTATAGCACGCCAGGCATTCCGGTCTCAGAACCTGTCCGAGCAAGTGAAACAAACGCTAAAAGTTGAGGAGAGACCATCCTGGATATACTGTCTCCCACACGATCAACGTCTCAACTCGACCGTGTAATAGCCGTTTGTATCTGGATAGTCCGGCCGCACGATGCAGACAAAATGATTGTGTCGTAACATTCCCACATGCTAAACGTTAAGTATCAAATGTATATTGCGCACTTGACACCCACAGTCTTGTTTCATACGATTTCAAAATGGAATTTATCTCTTTACTATTATTTCTTTGAATATGCAAAATTTACAACATAATAACAATTCCTTTGTTTTAGAGAAAACATTATAAAATAAAATATGGCACAGATACTCTAAAGTGTTTTAAAGACTGTAATCGAATTCATTTTTATTTTATTTTCACATTATATAGGATATTTGGGGTAGATACGAAGGCGATAATGTTTAGAAGAATATAGAAAATGGTCTCCCTTATATTACAGACATCATTACTAGCAACTTATCAAAACTTTTCCCTTTAACTTTTAATTTCATCATTAAAATAAACATAATGAATTATAACTACATCCTAGAACATAAAAACATAGTGAGGGCAGAATAATATTTTCATATACAGAAAATGTGAATTTACTCCACTGTATAAGAAGTTATGTTTGAATCTTTATTTATTTCAGATTGTTTCAATCAGACGTGTGCGGTAGATCTAAAAATCGCGGTGGATGAATACGAGTGGGCGCGATCTATGTATGTAAATGCCTACACGCTCGGTGCACTTTCGAGATGATATCAAAGATGTAAACGCGTATATAGGCAGAAATGACAATCAACCTCTTTAGTTTCGTAATTATTTTCTCGGTCGCGACTCGAAATCACGTAAAGTCAGCCTGGAAACAAGTTATTTAGTAGTTATTGCGATACGTACATATTATGTTATAGTTTTTAAATCAGTCAATATTTTGACGTAAACATTTGGTGAAAAATTGACCTGTCATAAAGTTTTTAAAATCTCTTGCATATTTTTCAATTCGTGTCAAAATTTTGACGACGTTCTCAAATGCTTTTAAGAGTGAAAAATATTGTAAGAACATCAATATTTAATCATTTTATATGTTTACATTTATCATATAGTATATTTTTATTTAAATGTAAATATTTTCGAAAACTAAACTATACTAAGTATAAGAATTGTTGTATTTGAATTCATTATCATCTGCTTACTTCAAAATATTTAATTAGGTACAAAACACAACCGTGTCGTTTCTATTCGATTTCACTCGTTGCGTTTCGATGTCAGTGAATAACGATTACTGTAGTCCTCAAACTCGATTCTGCGTACAATTGTATGTGTTACGTTTATAAACATAAAAGCACACGATTGTATGAGTGGTTCTACTGGTTCCATAGACGCTCGCTGATTTGTGACTGTCTCATCTCATTCATTTCACTATTTCTTATTTTTAAATCCTATATGAATATGTTAGTAAACTTGCATTATTTTAGTAAAATGGAATTAATACTCTATATTTATTTTATTTTAGTTAAAATAAAGATTTTATACACACTTTCATAAATCCTATTATTAAACTAATCAAGTCTTGTTTTCTATACAAGATTATTTAAAATATCTATTAAGATTAAATATTGTAAGAGAGAACTGTCACATAATAAGTTTTGTTTTCGGTTCTAAAACCCAGTTGTTAAACAACGGTTCTTAGTTGATCCGTTATCGTATTTGTTGTTCCCGCTAAAAAGTACGCTAAAGCTCTATTATTTAATTGCTATTGACTTTGCTGTAGTTAATTTATTTTACGTACTATACCATTTTTTTTACCACATTAATCTAAATATATATAACTCAAAGGTGACTGACGTAGTGATCTATCAACGTACAACCCAAACCACTGGACGGATCGGGTTGAAATTTGGCATGCAGGCAGATGTTATGACGTAGGCATCCGCTAAGTAAAGATTTTGATAAATTCTACCCCCAAGGGGATAAAATAGGGGATGAAAGTTTATATGAAACTTTGTCAATTTTAAACCGATCGGGCTGACACTTTGCATGCATAAAGCTACTATGATGTAGGCATCCCCTAAGAAAGGATTTTGATAAATTCCACTCCTAAGGGATAATTAACGCGAGCGAAGCCGCGGGTAAAAGCTAGTATACACATAAAACTCTGTGTACATATGTACTTGTACATATCAGTTATACATTATAAAAATTAAATTATAAGCTTTATTACTCAAAATAAGTTCTAAAGAAATAAGAATCTCTAAAGAACTACCTATCGTTAATATTTACGTCATTGCAATAAATAAATTAGTCAAGAATAGTGGTTTCGGTTTCTGTCAAATTAAGTCAATAAATACGTATTAGAAAATTCCTCATACTACTGACCATATCATGTTCAAAAGTTAACATTCATCTGTGGAACTGTTTTCATGAATAAATATAATATATAGCTACCCCTATACATGAGACCCTCTTCACATAATTTGGTTTACTTCAAGAAGACTGGCCCTAGTAATACTTTTTTGTGTATAGCACAACACTGTTTATAAATGTTATTACATCAACCATTTTAGTCATGACTATGTTGTGGGTGGTACTAATATGTTGTGTAATATCTTCAGTTTATTGAACTGGTCTAAATAAGTTTACAAAAACAAGATCTAATATTAAACAATACTTGGTATATTGTCTAAATAGTGATATACTACTGCTTATACTTAATTATGGAAGTTAAAGTTATGTTATATGATATAGTATACATATATGATATACTATATACTATAGTGATATAGTATATGGGGGTTTTGGTTTAAATTTTCATTGTTCACTATATGGTTGACATGTTTTTGCATTAAACATTGTCGTTCAATGGAAATTTTTCAATAGTATGGAAATATTTAAATGAACTAAAATCATACAATTTTGGGAGTTATTATAATATTTGGGTAGTTAGTAAATGGCTCATCAACAAAACTCCTTCGAAGGCTGTTACTTGCTGATCAGAACTCACCTTCATATAATAGATTTCAAGAACCTTGCTAGACTCATAGTGGAAATTATAAAATAAAACGTAATTTTGGTGGTATAGAAGTGTAAAA